ACCACGGCTCCCTCCTTTAGCCACTCCCCTCTCACCATCTCAGCCCGACCTGCCCCCACCACCAGGACGTCGGCTCTGCTCACCTGACACACAGAAAGGAAACGCATCATGACCAGCAGGAAGCCCTGACCTTCTGGGTCCTGGTCCTGGTCCTGGTCCTGGTCCTGACCTGCAGAGCTAAGTCTGGAGTTTTGGAGTGGCAGCTGGTGACGGTGGCGTGATTCCACAGGAGCAGGTCACGCATCGGAGCGCCCACGATTTTACTGCGACCAATAACAACCGCGTGTTTGCCCTCCACGGACACACCTACACAGGAATGATGATGTCACAGATGTGGGACGGCTCACGAAGACCTCGGTCCACAAAGTCCTTCGAACCAAAGTTAGCTTCATGTTAGCAGATTTTAGCAACATGAAGCTAACGTTTAGATTTTGTGGCTGGATTTTATCTCTCAGTTCAAAGAGTCCAAATTAAGAGCTGCAAACAGAGGAGGCCACAGGGTTCAGGGTTCGATTCTCCAGAACCGACACCTGAGCCCAGCTCCTCAGACACTCAGGCCTACGTATCCCAGAATCCACCAGGGGCACACAGAATAAACAGCAGACTAGCGGCAGATTAATTTAACAGTTTCAGTGTGTGTGTGTGTGTGAGTGTGTGAGTGTGAGTGTGAGAGTGTGAGTGTGAGTGTGAGTGTGAGAGTGACACCTGTCTGTCTGATCAGTTCCATGCAGCCATTGGGTGTACAGGGGATAAAACAGTCGTCCAGGTCGCCTCGAGACAGTTTTCCTGCATTCATACAAGTCAGACTGCGCACACACACACACACACACACACACACACACACACACACACACACACACACACAGGTTTAGCTGTAGCTACAACAGCTGAAAATAACTTAGCTCAGAAGACTGAAACAGAGTAGAAAACATCACCAAAGTAGCTACACGTTAGCCACAGCTAGCTCAGCTAGGCTAAAGGAGACTTGCTGGTAGAGTGGAGTTGATCAAGAATTAGTCTGAAATAAAAGTGAAAGTAAACAAAGACTAAACCAATTAAAACACCGGGAACACAGTAGGTACAGAGATGCTAACGTACAGCTGAGTTGACATTAGGTCAGATTTGACTGTTGACCCTACTGGACAAATGATTGTATTACAGCACCAAAAGGACAGAAGTAAAAGAAGAGATGTAGTTTAATTGTTGTTGGTAAAGACTCGCCCGTCGACGTCTTTCTCTGGACAAACAGCGTTGGTTACCAGCTGAGTGTCAATACAGTTTTCAGTCTGAAGGGGGAGCTGGACAATCAGACCGTGGATGGACGGGTCCTGGTTTATGGTCCAGATGGTCTTTAGTACCTGGTTTAGGACAGGGTGGATTTCTAAATATTGAATTGGACACAGGATTATTGACCCGGGTTTATTGATCTGGGATTATTGATCTGGGATTATAGATCTGGAATTATTGACCTGGGATTGTTGATCCCGGATTATTGATCTGGGATCATTGACCCGAGATTATTGACCCGAGATTATTGATCTGGGATTATAGATCTGGAATTATTGATCTGGGATTATTGATCTGGAATTATTGACCTGGGATTGTTGATCCCGGATTATTGATCTGGGATCATTGACCCGAGATTATTGATCCGGGATTGTTGATCCTGGATTATAGATCTGGAATTATTGATCTGGGATTATTGATCTGGAATTATTGACCTGGGATTGTTGATCCCGGATTATTGATCTGGGATCATTGACCCGAGATTATTGACCCGAGATTATTGATCTGGGATTATAGATCTGGAATTATTGATCTGGGATTATTGATCTGGAATTATTGACCTGGGATTGTTGATCCCGGATTATTGATCCGGGATCATTGACCCGGGATTATTGATCTGAGATTATTGAACAGATAACCAACCTGGTCCTGCGTGGCTGTGGTCGGGAGTCTGATGTGTTTGGCCTCGATTCCAATCTGTGTCACAACAAATCAACCTTGGTGTTGGATGGTTCTGGAGTTTGGACTCTGACCTTTCTGACCTTTGGACTCACCTCGGCTGCAGCCTTCAGTTTGGTGCTGATGTACAGGTTGGAGTCGTCTCTGTGTCCCACCTGAAACACAAGAGCACAGGAACCGGGTTCTGGTTCTGGTTCTGGTTCTGGTCTTGTTGACGGTCAGGTGGACCCACCTGTAGAACCAGCAGACCTGGTCTGAACCTTGGTACCTCAGTCCTCATCTGGTCCACCTCAGTCTTCAGCCTGTCCCTCACCAACCTGCACACAAACTGCAGGTGTGAACTGGAACAAACTGGATCCACATCCAGTTTGTTCCAGTTCAGCTCCTCTTCTACTGAAACAAACTGGACTAAAGAGGGGAACCGGACTCAGGTGGACTCACCGGGAGGTTCTGGTTCCAGAGACGATGGTCGCTATGGAGCGCCGGGTTCTGACCAAATGAGACGGAAGAATGGAGCGGGCGAACAAGGACCACATGACTGAGAGAGAGAGAGAGAGAGAGATCAGGAGGTCAGTCAGTGTCCTGAACACACACACACACACACACACACACACACATAAAACCAGTTGTTTTTACCTGAATCTTCTGATCGTCTTCAGTGAGAAGAACGAGAGAGAGAGAGAGAGAGAGAGATATTAAACACACACACACACTGACGGACACCTCTGTAGTTATCAGTTGGTGCTTGTTTGTGTGCGTGTGTGTCCTTTATTGGCTGAATGTAGAGGGTCAAAGGTTACTGTCGACCAATCAGCTCCAAAGAAGGAGAGAAGTTGGAGAAGAACAAAATGGACTCCTCAGTCCAGACCAAGGCTGAGGAGACCTGACTCATTCACACTCATTCACACTCATTCACACATCCACCAGAATCAGAACCATTTTGTTGCCAGGCAGATTTTCACCTCAGAGGAATCTGTCTGTCATTGGTGCAGAGGTACAGAGAAAATGTAGTACACAGTAAATACTCCAGTAGTGCAGTATTCCAGTAAGGATGACTTGGTGTTAATTAATGTTAAGAAGTATTGTAATGATCAGGTCTGCCTGCAGCATCCAATCACAGAGCTTCGTTCTGTTTGTTGTGTTTCAGGTCAGACCACTTCAGTCCCTGACTGTTTCGGGGATTAACTTCAGTTACTTGTTCTGGTCCCTGGTGCCCGGGTCTTCATTCCTGCAGGCTAACGCAGCCCAGCTGAAGGTAAGAACATCGTCATCGTGGTGTCGTGTGTGTGTGTTTTATACCAGCTGCATGAACTGAAATAAAGGAATAATTCAAGAATTAACGTTAATATTTCGATCAAATTTCCTTCGTTTTCGTCAATTTCTTCATCTTTTGATTGACTGAGAGAATTATGTCAGTTGGTGGCGCCGTACGGCACCTCACGTTCCGTCGATTTCCGTTTACAGTCGGCTTTTGCTCATTGTGCTACATGGCAAAATGGCAACAACAAAAGTTGTGTCCAAGTGGCGGTGTGTCCAAAAGTGTCCTCCGTGTGGACGGTTCACCCTGGACCCACATCCCTAGAGCTGCGGGTTCTCTTCCCTTCACTTCAACCATCTCTGCAGAACCGAGGTGTTCATCTTTTTTTCACTCGTTAAAATTGAACCAAAGTCGTCGATTATTTGACAGTTTGTTGGTGTTTTTCTCAGACTTTTCTCAGAGTTCCTGAGACTCGATGAACGGGTTCTGTCCTCATAAACACACTGAAGGCTGCCACCTTGTGGACTGAATGCAGTATATTTTATGAACTGGAATCCTGTGGTTCTATTAACGTTACGTTCTCTGATGGTTTGGAGCCGTGAAGTTTGGACAAGATAGAACAAAAACAATTAGTTCATAACTAAAGTGAAGTTTAGTTCATTTATAATTAAAATACTGAAGTGAACCAAACAAAGGTCAAACCGAACCATTATAACCTCGGTGTGGACCAGTGGTCAGTACTGCTGCCTTACAGCAGTCACAGAATGAGACTGATATAAAACCAGCACCATTAAATATGAGTGACGGGCTAGGCCTTCAAATGTGTACTTAGCACCACCTACAGGCCGGGAAATGGAGCTACATGTTTAATGCTAACTTTCAATAAATGATTTTTTGTAGTAAATAAGTAAAGGGAACTGTACAAAGTAGTAGCTGAACAACCAGTCTGATGACGTCATGGTTTGTTGAGCAACGTCGCCCTCTGATGTATCTGTGTCAACGCTGTGCTGTCTGCACACAGAGACGTGGACTTTGATGAGCAGGACGGCAGAAAAGTTGAGTGAAGACCAGGTTTTAACATGGCCGAGAGACGAAACTGTGGGTCCACAGACCCAAAACTGGACTTCCTGAACTACAACGACCTGGTCTGTGAGGCGGTCGGAGGAAAGGTGAGACCTTCCTGACTCGTTATCTGAGTGGCTGCTTACTGACCACAGGGTCTGGGGCAGGGGGCGCTAGGACAAATCATCTTTACTCCCTTATTCTGTCAGAATGCTTCTGATCACTGTAGGACTGATGTTTGTAAAGCATTTTAGTTCAGACCAAAGTCCATGGAGAAAATCAGAGATTTTAGTTCAGACCAAAGTCCATGGAGAAACGTGAGCTGTACCACTGCTGCCCCCAACACTGTTTTAAAATGTAAAATTTAAAAGACACAAACTGACCACCGGGGGCAGCAGCAAACCAGAAGTTGTAGTAAACCAAACTAATAACAAACTGTTTTTTTTCTTTCAGGTCATTTTTGCCACAGACGAGTGGTTCGCTCCAGCCGCCAACCTGCTGAAGGTACGAGTTCCTGTCACTTCAGGCTGTATCACGTTCATATAACCACCTTCACTGAAATTCTATTGTAGAATGAGCTCATTTTTTGACGTCAGTGTTTTGTCTTTGATGTTGACGTTGATGTCTTGTGTTGCCAACATGGATCAGACTTCTCCACCACAGTTCGTTGTCGATGCCTTCACCAACTTCGGGAAGTGGATGGATGGTTGGGAGACGAGGAGGAAGCGGACACCAGGTATGTAGCCTGACCACGTTAGCGGCGGCAGGATGTCGGTTGCCGCCTCTTCATCTTCGTCCTGTACTGCAGGTCATGACTGGTGCATCATCCAACTTGGTGTTCCAGGACTGATCCACGGCCTCGATGTGGACACATCCTTCTTCACTGGAAACTACGCCCCCTACATTTCAATCCAGGCCACGTGTTTGGGTAGTGAATTTTGTTCAACTAACACTAGTTTAAAAATACAGATTAGATCCTGATGATGCTGATGTTGCTAATGAGGCTAATCTAGCTAATATGAGATAATTAGCCACAAATGTGCTAACAACATGCTAATTATAATGATATCTATTGATAGCGCTATAGCCCTGGTCCATGTTTTGACCTGTGACAGTTTTTCTTTCTTTAGCTTACCTTTAGCTTTAGCTCCGTAGCTGTGCTGAATTCAATTTTCAGTGTTTGTACAAATCAAACTGCACTGTGACGGATAACAATGCTAACAGTGCTATCGTTCTCCCCTGCTCCAGACCAGGCCCCCACCTTTGTGGTGGGCGGAGACAGAACTGGTATGGCGGCCTCCCAGCAGGAGCTGGCTGCTGTAACCACGGTAACAAAAATCTGTTTTAACATCATAGTAGAAAAAACCCCAAACTTATTGTTTACGTTTCAACTGCTTCTCTTGGCAGTTGCACTCGGAGGCGTGGCCAGAGCTGCTGGGCGTGTCTTCACTGAAACCAGGATATAAAGATGTTTGTCACAATTATTTTACTGTTAGCTTCAAAAACAGAGTTACACACCTGCGAGTCAACCTGTACCCAGGTACACAACTGACCCACCACTCACCGCACAACTGACCCACCACTCACCGCACAACTGACCCCACCACTGACACACCGGTTGTCGCTTGCACTGCTGTTGTTTGTCTCCGACGTCTCTCACTGCTGTGTCTCCTGACCCCTGTGTGAGACAGTGTGTTTTTGTGTTGCCCTCAGATGGGGGGGTCTCCAGACTCAGGGTCTACGGGGTGGGTGTGAGGGACTGGACCACTGTCTCACCTGACCAGGACCTGGACCTCATGGCTCTGACCAATGGCGGGGTCTGCCTCAGCTACAGTGACGCCCACTTTGGACACCCACGCAATATAATTGGTTGGGATTAGTGAAGCTAAACTGCACAGTCGTGTGTTTTCAGTAATCTGATTAATCTCAGGGGCTGTTAATGAATCTGATTGGACACAAATCAATGACCCAGTCCAATGTGATCAGATATACAGTACAGACAGTACCGATGTCAGTAGGTAGAGGTCAGTGTTTCTCTGTCTGTGTTCATCTGTGACTAATCCAGATGATGGGATCAATAATCTGGACAAATGTCCAGCAGTCAGAGTGAAGGTGTCTCTTCATCGGGCTGTAGTGTCAGTTGGACTGTCAGTCGTAGTCCTGGTCTCAGTCAGGCTGCTCTGACGCAAGCCGGGCCACTGACCAGAGGTTGAAGCATCCACAGACACAGGAGATTCAGTGAAACTAGAACTGTTTCCCACAATGTGATAATCTGATGGATTATTGGATTAACGCTGACATCACTCTGACTGATGGAATTTACATCTTACTAAATGTAGCTAACATGCTAAATGCTAATGCTAAGATAGCTCTCAGTAGGTCTTTTCTCCACAGGTCCAGGACAGGCTGCCAGCATGGCCGATGGATGGGAAACTGCCCGTCGTCTGGACCGACCCAGAATACTGAGGGTAAAGGTCACGTGACCGTCCTCGTCTTCTTCTGATTGGAGTCATGTTCTCACCTGACTTCCTTTTTTTCTGCTAAAATGTTAGCCGGACCAGCAGGGAATTCTGCAGGTTCCAGGGTGGGAGTGGGCGGTTTTCCGTCTGGGGTTTCCTGGTGTCATCAGCAGGGTCGAACTGGACACCAGCCATTTCAAAGGTTAGGAAAATTCTGGAAACCCAGAGCCTGACAGGAGACCACGCTGTCCTCTGACCTCAGACCTATGTGCTCCGTCCACTGACCTGTCCTCTGTCCTGTAGGGAACGCTCCAGACTCCTGCAGACTGGAGGCGTCTTCCATGAGTCCAGAGGACGAGGCTCAGGCTCTGAGGACTGAGTGGAACTCTGTGAAGTGGGAGGTTCTAATGCCACCCCAAAAAGTAGGTCTTGAACTCCTGTGACATCATTCACATCTCTGTGACATCATCACGTGACTCACCCATCTCCTGGTCTTATGCCGTAGCTCCGCCCTCATCACGTGCACGCGTACACAGACACGGAGCTCACACTGAAGCAACCCGTCTCTCACATCCGTCTCATCATCGCCCCTGACGGAGGGGTGAGTCGTCTTCGTCTGTGGGGACGTCCCGTCTTGGAGACAACAGCTGCGGCCAGACGAATGGCATTGTTGTCCAAACTGTGAGACGCTGAGACGACGTCAACACGAACAGGAAGTGAGCGCCTCATCTTCACCTCCGTGGTCTTTAACACAAAACAACGTTCTTTTCTAGACTGGGTTCAAAGCAGTGACGTGAGGTCCATGATCAGACCAAGACACTACATACTCTAGTACAGTAGGTGGCAGTATGCTCCTACTGTACTAGGTTGTAACCAGTGACGTGCGGTGAGGTTCATGCACCTGGTAACGGTTCACATCATATATATAGAACTGGACAGATATTGGTGATATGCTGAGGAACAGAAACGGACGTGCGTCATGTGACCCAGTTTGTACTGGATCAGCAGTCAGAAGTGAGGCACTGCCTCACCCACTGCCTCACCCAGGATTTCCGTCCTGTATTTGATAGCGAAATACTCAAATTTGTCAAAATATTAATATTTCTTTTATGTACGTTTTTTCTTCTTTATCATGATGGAAGGTGAGGCACTGCCTCCCCTGACCGCACGTCACTGGTTTGAGCTGATGCTAACTCAGCTAATCCACGGATTATTCCCGGGTTCCGGTTGTAAAATTTTGAGAAAATTGAGAAATAACAGCAAGATCATAAAATGAAAATGAACGTCCGCCTGAAAATGTGTGAAAATTTTATTTTATTTTTTAAATGTGTGGCTATGATTTAAAAACAAATGAATAAATCAACAAACTCTGATTTTTACTGCGCTTCAAATATTAGGATTCATGACGTTAGGAGACAGGAAGTGCTAAAACAATCTAGCTTCCGGTAATGTCACTGACAAATGTTGGGACAGCTCAGATGGGCTGTGTGATTGGCTAACACGACAGGTAGTGAAAAATGAAAGTCACTGATTGGCTTCTTCCGGCGTCCGCTACCCTGCTCATTAGCGGCCAGTTTGAAACAGATGGAACAAGGTTAAAAACGGTGACAAGACCCAGAACCAGGGTCCGAACGGATGATGCCTGAACACTCGGAGTTCCGCAGTGACAGCGACTCCCGGTCGTACTTTCATGCCAAACATTGCGCTCTGTCGGCGGTCGCAGCCAGCTGGCACGAGCAGCAAAAACCCGCCATTTCCGGACATGTCAAAAGACCCATGAACGCCTTCATGGTCTGGTCCAAGATCGAAAGGAGGAAGATCATGGAGCAGAGTCCGGATCTACACAACGCCGAAATCTCCAAGCGACTCGGGAAGCAATGGAAGACGTTGCAGGAGGCGGAGAAGGTTCCGTTCATCCGGGAGGCGGAGCGGCTGCGGCTGCAGCACATGGCCGAGCACCCGGATTATAAGTTCCGGCCAAAGAAGAAAAGCAGGACCGGGAACAGAACTGACACCAGTGCCGGAACTGAGGCACCGAAAAGGGCTGAGGCCAAAAACCTCAATAAAAAACTGTCCAAATTAAAGCCGAGAGCAGAGATGCCATGTCCCGCCAGAGGGCGCCACCTCAGCCCGGAGGTTCAGTACAGGTGCGTTTTGAATTTGTTTTCTCTGTTTGTGGCTGAGACCAGGTGTTTAAAAATGTTTAAAATGGTCTAAAACTAAATAAAAACCATTCTACAAATACACAATAAAGTGGTGTTTCAGTTTTGAATACGTAAATACAAACGACAAAACTGTTAAAAATGACTAATTTAAATGTGTTAGCTTAGCCTTATTTAAAAATTAAGCTGCTGACCCAGAACAAAAAACAAACAAAAAAAATCCTTTAAATGTTAATGAAAGCATTTTTATTTATTTATATTTTTAACACTTTCATAAAATGTATATTCTCGTAAATCCCTGTGAATCTCGATTTTGTCGCTTGTGTTCGCCAGTAACTTTACAGCCAACCTGACAGTGGGCTTCACCGGTGATGAGGAGGAGCCTGACTTTGAAGTTGGGGCGGAGACAAGCATGTTCCACCTCCCCAAAGTCCCGCCCCCCATGGCTCTGACTTCCTGTTTAGCGGAAACAGAGGAGGTCGGTGTTTACGATTCCGTGAGTCGTCTCTATTACAGTTTCAAGAACATATCGCGCCACTGTGCCACCAGTCCAGTCTGCCTTTCTGGTTCCTCCTCCTCCTCCTCCTCCTCTGTCTACGGGGATGACCTAGAAGACGTCTTGGCAGAAGGGCGCAGCCTGCTGGACAGTTTGGAAGGCTCGTCATCGAGCCTGGGTCTGATCCTAGTTGACAAAGACCTGGATTGGTGCGGCAGCGGAGTGAGCCGCGAGGAGAGTCTGGGATCTCACTTCGACTTTCCGGATCACTGCACAGCAGAACTCAGTGAAATGATTTCTGGAAACTGGCTGCACCCCGACTCTCCAGACGTAGTCTTTACCCACTAACGACACGGATCCTTTCGGGACCCGGACTCTTCAGGACCGGATGTTTATTATATGGAGAAACTGTGTTCGGGCCGTTTGACCTGTTCACACAATGGCACTGATCTGACTGAGAAGCAGCGACACCCAGAGGATTTACCTCTTAACTACAGGCAAATAATGCTGTCACACTCTCGGTACGCCAATGTCCAGAGCTCACTGGAACAGTGTCTTGTCGACTGCTGCCCCCTGTGGTCAGTTTGTGTTTCTCAGCTCCAGATTTAGCTGAAAAGGTCTTGTTGACGTCGACCCTCAAAAAAAACTTTTTAGTTCTTTTTTGTTTTTATCCACAGCACATTATGTTTTCGTGGTTATTTTTGTTCAACAAAGAAAAGAAAAAAGAATGAAAGTCCACGTCATTTGTTGTAGCAGAAAATAATCTGCATCAAAGGGTTTGTTTACGACTAAATAAAAGTGACAAACGAGTCACTGCCTCTGACTCTTCTTTTTGCCCACAGAGAAACTGGAGGTTGTTCTAAAGGTCACTACTGCCTCGTGTGGTCATTTTGTCCTTGTGTTTCTGAGCTAAAATCACCAAGTTTATTTTTTTCGCATCAAGGTTTTGGTTTTACCGGGAAAAGGGTCTTCAAGGCTCTTGTTCATGGAGGTGAGTTAGCTTCAAAGTTGGCGGAGCTTCTCAGTGGATTACGATTTTTAAAACCATAAAACAGTGGAGACGGAGATGACACTGATCATTCACTTTATTGAAGCACTGAGACACATATTATCACAGTATATGTTGTTGGTTGTGTTAGTGACAGGAAACAACAAGAAAATCAACAACTACTGATCAAGGTCAATGACATCATCACCTGCCAATCAGCCATACGTTAACAAGCACGTTCACGTCACAACGGTCTGTTAATCAACAGTAAATGTAACGATCACAAGCACCAATATTTAAACAACAACGACGGTGGAAGTTACTGACGATCAATAATCTCTACAGACCGGTTTAAATGATTACACCACAGCCAGCCACAAGAGGGCAGACTTTGTGACATGGACTGTATGGATGCTATTGAATCTAATGGTTGAGTGATTCATCGTTAGCCTGACTGTGTGGACCAATGGAAATGTAGAGTTTGTCATTGTAAAGGTCTACGTGGCCAACTGACCGTCCTAAATCTACGTGGCCTACACTAAAGCACAACACAACAACCAGTGAAAATGTCACGTCACCAAATAAGACAAGCATCACTGACATCTACTAACGTCTATGGTCCACCAGGTGCTGCTCACGGCCCACGCTGGTTCTCAGACTTGGACTGGCTCCTAGTGGACCCTCAGTGCTTCTGTTGACCAACATTGCGATGTCACAGGATACTCTCGTGCTCCTCTCCAAAGGTGACGGTGTCGGAGGACACGGTGACAATCTCTGGTGGGTCTCCAGGTTTAAGGTTCCGCTTCAGGTGGACCACACGTACATTCTCGTTGTCTGGCCCAGGCCTGGAGGGGGCGCCGGCCGTGCCAGTGCTGGTGTTCCTGCCGCTTGAAGAGATAATGATGTCTGCAGTGGAGGAGGTGGAGCCCTCTGCAGGTTGGCAGGGGCGGTTGTTGGAGTTGTTGTTGAGGGTCACACTGCTCGGGGTACGGTTGAGGTTGTAGGTCTTAGAATGAGGCCAGCTCTCCTCTGGACTGCTGGCCAGGAGGCTGCACTGGTCCTCAGAGCAGATGGACATCCTGGTCAGCGTGGGGTCTTGGAGACCACTCAGGCTGCTGGGAATGCTGGCTTTTCTCCCTGTGCCGTCCTCCAGTTGGATCAGGTTGGATGTGTCCAGCTGTGACAGCTCCGCCTCTTCGTCCTGCAGCGAGTGGTTGGGTGAACTCTCATTGGACCGCACCCCAGAGTCGGATGAGTCTTTCTTGTCCAGCATGGCGTCCGACAGGTAGTCCTTCCCTTTGAGTGCCAGAGAGGCGCCTGACGGTTTGGACTCCACTCCCTTCTTGTCATCCCCGAGCAGGGGGGCGTGGTCCGACTCCTCAGACTCCTCGTCGTCACTCATCAGTTTCTGGTACCGTGGCCCACTTCCACCCCCGCCCTTCAGTTTCAGCTCTGCAGCGCCATGGAAGAGCCCGACCCTCTCTGATGAGGTTTTGCGAGCCAGCAGGGATTTGGGCGCGCCGTGGTCATTCTTCTCATCTTCTTCGGTGATGGGGTCCAGAGTGTCGGTGTTGGAGGCGGAGTCCGTTTCTGATGATGATTTGGTGCCGTTCCCCCTGGTGGACAGTTTTTGAGGGTCTGGCTCGTCTTTGCCCTTCTCCTCAGACGACGTTACCAAGTGTGCTGGTGGCGGTGGGATGGGCCTGTTGCTGTTGGCTCCGCCCACCTCCAACTGGGCCATCTGAGCAATGTAATCCTGGTACGCACTTCGGTATTCTGCCTGCTGCCTGTCCGTCAGTTTGACGATGTCGTTGGATGACTCCTGAGAATTTAGGCTGTTCATGCTGGCAGTGCGGTGAGCTCCACCCTGAGGACACAGGATGTAACGACCAGGGATCAGAAACTGCAACAGCGGTTGTTGTTCTACAGACTGGACAGAAGTAAATGTGAAGGAAAAGAAGTAGAAAGGAATAACGTCTGAAGTAAAGTGAGGAAAAGGAAAGAAAACCTGAGAGAAGACAAGAAGTACAAGTTTAGTGAAGGACAGACGAGAAAAAAACCTACGAAGGAAACAAGGAACTGAAAATGGATGGAATTCTCCAGAGGAATAAAAGAAGAAAGGAGAGTAAAAATGAACTCGGAGACTCTGAGCTGTCTACTGGTTCAGGTTTTACCGTCCAGACCGGGTTCCCAAGCCGAGGCGCCTCCTCAAGGCCCACATTGCTCAGCTCCTCGAAGCTCAGACTGTAACCGTACAACGGAGATGACTCAGCATTGGCGGCAGCGCTGGACAGAGGCGGAGCTGAGGCTCGTCTTCCCACTTCAGCCACACCCCCCTGCTCACTGGCCACCTCCTCCTGCAGGAACTGGTTCTCCATTAGACGCAGGTCTAGGACCTGAGACCAAACAAGGACAAGTCCACGTCAGGAGACACCAAGTGATTTGACCGGTAGCATCAGACTCGGTATGATGTCACCGCAAATATGATGTCATGTCATTAGCATCATGTCTATCAAAGTTTTGTTAGCATCAGGCTTGTTGTTGTGTTGTTAGCATCAGGCTTGTTGTTGTGTTGTTAGCATCATGATTGTTGTTAGCATCGTGATTGTCATTGTGTTGTTAGCATCGTGATTGTCATTGTGTTGTTAGCATCGTGACTGTCGTTGTGTTGTTAGCATCATAATTGTTGTTGTGTTGTTAGCATCATGCGTGTTGTTGTGTTGTTAGCATCATAATTGTTGTTGTGTTCTTAGCATCGTGATTGTTGTGGTGTTGTTAGCATCGCGATTGTTGTTGTGTGTTAGCATCATTCTACCATAGCTCTGAACAGCTGCCAGTCTCCAAAGTTCATGTTCATCTCCTTCTTCAGTTCTTCCAGGTTACACTGAGACAGAACTCTTCCGTTAACATTAGCCTGAAAAACAGGTTGAAACCAATGAGAATGTAAAGACTACAGTGCTGAGGTGATGATGTAATCATCATGTGACCAACCTTCCTGATGGTAGCGCTGTACTGGCCCATCATGCTCTGGTCCATGCCCTCCAGCTGACCAACGCGCTCGCAAACCACCTCTGTTGTCATGGCGCTCAGCAGAGTGGGTGGAGCTCCACACGTGATAGGGGCGGGGCCCTAAGGCCAGGACACAAAGAAATAAAATAAAGAGTAGTAAAATGGTCAAAGTCCAACAGCTCCTCAAGCTACAAGCTAACGTGAATAAGCCAGGTGCATCCTGGGAAAAAGGAATGGAAGTTAAGAAGAAAAATAGGTGACAAAGAGTTAGTGAGAAAGGAAGGAGACAAGTGAAGGAAGGGAGAGAAGAAGCTGTGAGGAGGAGCAGGAGAAGGTGGAGCGGTGAGGAAGAGGAGGAGGAACGAAAGACATTTAAGAAAGTGTAGGAAGTACAAAGGTGGAAGGAAGCGCAGGGATATTGTTGACGTTAAAACGATAAAAACATTCAGTCAAATCTATACATGGGCTGAACCAATCAGGTGGTGAGCTGTCATAACGTGTCACCTACTTCTTAACCAATAGGTTATTGGTAAACCAAAGCGGTCACTCCAGAGGCCAGAAACAATAACATCTCACTAGCGCCCCCTTCTGTTTCCCTGATGTTTTTACACATAACTAGAACAGTTCAAATAATAATTGGAAATTCCACTGTGGGTGTCTGTGATTGGCTCTGAACCCAGTTCTGACTAACAAGAGATCAAAGGATTTTTTGAAGTTTTTTTTACTATAATTCATTTGTGACTAAAGATTTCAAACATGTATTGATTTATGTATTGACTATTGGTTTGATGACGACTTTCTGGTGGAAGGGTGAGCCTGACGTTGAGCCCCGATGAAAAGACGGAAGAAGAAAGGCATCACAGTAAAAAGGAACAAAGGGGAGAAGTAAATACCTGCTTCCTGTTCAAAGAAGAAACGTAGGACTGGGAAACACACAGATGTCTGTCATCAGCACAAAGTGGGCATCAAAACAAACCATCAACATGTGTTTGTAAACACACAGGTGCAACAGCGCCCCTGCTGGAGGGTGTCTTTGTATGTGTGTGTACTCACCTGTGAGGCACCAACCCTAAAGGACAGTTCGTGAGTTTGTGGGCGTGGCTGGAAATGCGACAGGTAGGAGGTGGCCACAAGGGGGCGGGGCAGCTGCTGATGTGTGAAATATGGCTGAAGGGGGAGGGGCATAAAAAATCAAAACAAGGCTGATGGAGGCAACAAAAAGAACCAATCAGAGCACTGAGTGAACCCCTGCTGCCACACTCTGGACAAAGCTCTAACTGCACCATTGTAGTACTACAGTACTCTACCTCTGTTGCTACTTGTGGTTCTAGTGCTATGTTAATGTGGTTCCACGGTGGGTTCTGTTCTAAAGGCTGGTTCTACTGCTGGTACCAAAACTGCTGGTGCCTAAACTGGTTCTGATTCTACTGCTGGCTCGGGTGAAAAAATAAATAAATAAAATCGGCCAAGCACAAGCAGCAGGAGTGATGGTGACGATGACGAGGGAATGTCACATGATGAAGTAGTGGGTGGAGCCTGTACTCACCCTGTTGTAGAAGGGGTGCTGTGGTCCGACCAGGCCACTGTAGTAGCTGCTGTGAGGCTGTGGAGAGGCTGCTGCTGCTGCTGCTGCTCCTGGCTGGGTGAAGGAGGTGGAGGGTGAGCAGGTGGATGATAGTTGGCTGTAGACTGAGGTGGGCCGGGGCTGGAGGTCTGGCAGGGGTAGAGAAGGATAGGACACGCCTCCCATGTTGACCTGGTCCCGCGCAGCTCGAACATCTGGAGTAACGAGAGGAGACGATGTGAGGGGGTGGAGCCTGAACAGTTGGGTGGAGCTTTACTAACTGAAGGTGCCCTCACCTGCGATGATCTCTCGGAGTTTTGGGTCCAGGTTGACCGTGCAGGGCAGGAAGGTTCTAATGTCTCTGGCTGTGAGGACGGGAGTCCTGGACGACAGGAACACCTCAAAGCTGCGAACATCTCCATCGATCTCCAGCAGGGGCTCCACGTCTTTGGTGGTGGGGATGTTCTTGGACACCCTGAGAGGACGGACACACTGACCTTCCAGTTGCTAATGCCACTGAAGGCTAAGCCACAGACTCTTAATCAGCAAAGCCGGTGTTAGCACGATGCTAGTCTTACCTCTCGTAGATGGTCTTGAGAGACGCCTGGTCTGGGACTGCGTCCGTCTCCTCCAGGTACAGGATGAGCCAGGAAGTACGATATGGCCACTGCTCTGTAAGGTTGATCCACGATGCAAGGCGGTCCCAGTTAAAGCTAATCTGATTGGCTCGCAGCAGACGACCTGGCCGTGCACATGGAGAAAATGTCACCACTAGGGGTCTGGTTGTGTTAACGCTAAGCTAATGTCTTTAGTCAGCAGGACTCTGACGTGTGGTTTTAGTCGTGAGCTGACGTTAGCATCGGTGCGTATGATGTAGTTAAAGGAAGGGGTGAAGGAGGTGGAGGGTGAGCAGGTGGATGATAGTTGGCTGTAGACTGAGGTGGGCCGGGGCTGGAGGTCTGGCAGGGGTAGAGAAGGATAGGACACGCCTCCCATGTTGACCTGGTCCCGCGCAGCTCGAACATCTGGAGTAACGAGAGGAGACGATGTGAGGGGGTGGAGCCTGAACAGTTGGGTGGAGCTTTACTAACTGAAGGTGCCCTCACCTGCGATGATCTCTCGGAGTTTTGGGTCCAGGTTGACCGTGCAGGGCAGGAAGGTTCTAATGTCTCTGGCTGTGAGGACGGGAGTCCTGGACGACAGGAACACCTCAAAGCTGCGAACATCTCCATCGATCTCCAGCAGGGGCTCCACGTCTTTGGTGGTGGGGATGTTCTTGGACACCCTGAGAGGACGGACACACTGACCTTCCAGTTGCTAATGCCACTGAAGGCTAAGCCACAGACTCTTAATCAGCAAAGCCGGTGTTAGCACGATGCTAGTCTTACCTCTCGTAGATGGTCTTGAGAGACGCCTGGTCTGGGACTGCGTCCGTCTCCTCCAGGTACAGGATGAGCCAGGAAGTACGATATGGCCACTGCTCTGTAAGGTTGATCCACGATGCAAGGCGGTCCCAGTTAAAGCTAATCTGATTGGCTCGCAGCAGACGACCTGGCCGTGCACATGGAGAAAATGTCACCACTAGGGGTCTGGTTGTGTTAACGCTAAGCTAATGTCTTTAGTCAGCAGGACTCTGACGTGTGGTTTTAGTCGTGAGCTGACGTTAGCATCGGTGCGTATGATGTAGTTAAAGGAAGCATGTAGAGGATGGTGAGGTCAGGGGTCACCTGTGACGGACACGATGTTCAGAAGTCTCCTCATGCTCTGAGGACTGATGTCACTGAACCAGTCCTCCGTCACCATCAGCTTGGTCAGATCAAAGGACATCTGACGAGTCACCGAGCGTTGGACCTGACGCCGTCGGTACGTGTCCTGAGTACAGAGCATCAAAAACATGTTTACACACACACACACTCACTTACAGACCCACACACACACACACACACATATCTCACCCTGCGGGTCAGTGTAGACCTGCTCCCAAACTTGGTCAGTTCTCCTAAACTGTGCTGAGACAGTTTCCTGTCCAACTCCTCGTGCCAACCTGGAACACAGAGACACAGAGCTGAAGTCTGCTTCCTGGACTGGTCGACAGGAAGTCCAACAGGAAGTCCAACACCTATGGTCAGAGGAACCTTACCCTCAGCAGCTTCTCCATTAGCTGCTGTGCTGGTGCTCATGCTGCCAGTGTTTGTGCCAGCTGCAGCACACATCCTTCTGGCACTTGAGAGCCCCCTGCTGTTCAGGAAGACCGGCAGGTGGACAATGTTCCTCATATAGTCGTGTCCATTGATGTTGGAGTCTCGCAGGACACTGTTGAGGTTCTGATTTATGGCTTTGATGATGATGTGTGGATCACTGGCAAAGATTGAGATGAAGGAACCTTTGGAGAACAAGACCCGTACCTGCAGGGGGAACATGAGAACAGGAGATCAGAAGACCACCGGCCTAGGTCCTGGTTCTCCAAGAAAAGTCAGAGGCAGGACCTGGAACCAGATCCAGGATTTTAGAACCTGTGGTCTGGTGTGTGCACAGGTTCTTACCGTGTCCAACATCTGTAGAACCTTGTCCTGCTCACAGGAGTCCAGACCATCAATGACCACAACCAGTCTGGTCTGGTGTTGTGTGAAGCTGTCGATGGTCTTGGCCATCTTGGCCATCAGCTCCACCTCGTTCTTCAGAACCTACAGAACCGTGGATAAGGTGAGACACATGCAGGTCTTCAGGCTGGACCTGAAGACACTTCCCCTTCTCTCCCCTTACCTTCATAAAGCCCTCGCTCTTCAGCTTGTGCATCCTGTTGGCGGCGCCGTGGAGCCTCTTCCTCTGGGAATTCAGAACTGAGTCTGTGACCCGCCACCAGGTCCTGCAGTTGAGCAGCAGCGCCAGTGCCACCACGCTGCCAATAGCGATGAGGACACTGTCTGCTGAGCTGTCGTCATCACTGACCCTGAAGACGGCCAGCAGGGTCCCGGCGCCGATCAAGCACAGCAGCACCGCCGTGCAAATCAGGAAGGATGGCACGCAGCACGTCCTCTTCCACTTCCTCTTTCCTGAGACGGTGGACGGACGTCAGAGGCCAAATACTACCACCTACAGTCTGACATTAGAACGGCACTCTTCCACATCTGTTGTCCGTCGTTCCCACGAGTGTGGGATGACTATTGTCTTGAATTAATAACCAACCCGTCCCTGCAACCCTCGCGGCCCACTAGGTGGTGCTCACAGCCCAACCTTATGGTCTGAGGACGATGGATTACTCTTCGTGTCCCTTTTTGATGGCTAGCTTTTAGCTTTTCATTCTCTTCTGGCATCATTGGTTTGTTACTTTACACACACTACGAATGTTGTAACATTTCAAACCCATTTTTTAGCCTGTTCTTCATTCACTTCATTTTTTAGTACTTTATAGCGAAGGTTAGCTGTTAGCAGTTACCTTGGGTTTCTTCTGTCTTAAAGACTCGGAACAGTCTGGTAGCAAGGAAACCAAACTCCCTCTCACAGGCGTCAGAAAGCGTAGCGATCATTTCAGCCATGGACGTCTCTCCGCCAACGCTGGACAAACGGTTGTAGTCGGTGAAAAGGAACCTAAGGACGTGGCGTCAGAGGTCATGTCACATGATCGGCAGGTCACGAGAGGTCAGGAGGTGATTGGCTGATGTATTGACGTGGGCTCCTCACCTGACGGGCAGCGCTCGGGTGCTCTGCTCAGGCAGCTCAGGCGGGTTCACAAACATCAGTTTCAGCAACAGTTCCAAGTAACCGATGTGACGCGCTAGCCTGGTGTTGATAAGCCACGCCCAATTCCAGGGGTCGCCCTCACGTCGCCCACCGAAGTACACGACCACTGTTAAAAATGACAACATCCGATCACTTTACTGGATGGAAGACAACAACATGCTTGAATAAGCTAACCTTTAGCTCTATCTGTGCTCAGGTCGCTACCATCGTGGTCAACAGTTGTTATTGTTATCTCGACTAACATGTAACCACTGCGGCTAATGTTTGTCTGCTGCAGAGAAGTAACAGTTTGGACCTAAACAGAGGGAAAGTCACTTGTGTTTCTGAAGTAGGAAGTGAAAGAGTGACAGGGCATCGTGGGTAATGTAGTTGTAATGATGAATGTTCTGACCAAAGAAGAAGTAGAGCAGAGCCAGCAGACTGAGGGACACGGCCGTGGACAGACCCGGGTCCACGGTCAGAGCCAGAACCAGCGCCACGGCACCACACAGAAGCAGAGACAGGATGACCAGCAGCCAGGAAAAATGGAAGAGGGGCGCCATCTGCTGGCCAGCAAATGTCTTCATCTCATCTGAGGAGGAGGAGGAGGATATGGAGTCATGACGAGGGGTGTGTTTGACCTGTGTGTGACCTTTGACACCCCCTACTCACTTACCTTCCAA